TACACCTCAGTCCTTCATCACATCCGAAGTACAGAGGACTTATTTTAATCGGGCAAAAAATATCAATCCAGATTTACCAAAATTAAGAGGTTTTATGCGTAATCCATTCTGAAAAACTGGGCTTTGCAATTCTGTCCGTATGTCTGTGTGTGTGTGTGTCTGTCTGTGTGTAAACACGATTACTTGAGTACCGTTACAGCTAGGTTGATGAAATTTCATATATAAGTGTTTTATCAAAATCGTAGATCCGTATCAACTTTTGAGCGATTTCCGATAACCGGAAGTTGTACTTTTTCTACTTTGAATGTTTCAAAAGCCTATAACTTGAGTACTATTTCAGATAGATAAATGAAATTTCACATGTGAGTAAAAGATCTAATTTTCTACCTTCTGTTAAATTTTGAGTAATTTCCGTTGCACTTTTTTATTTGGCGTTCACTTGGTGTGCAATTCATTTGTCTACAAGATTTTATTCTATTTTTAAAACTTTAAGTATTTAAAATGGATTAAAAATCATGTCTATAGCCCGAGTTCCCATCCCCTGTTGTTTTATATAAGAATATTCGAGAAAGTTTAGGGGAGATCACTCCCGGTTTATTTTATTTACAGTTTGTACAAGCCATGGTTTTTTTTTTTAAAAATACTCTTATTTTCCACAAAACAAAATAATAAGAAAAAGGAGACAAAAAAAAAATCTTAGTAATGTACATCGTAAATGTTTGCATTTTTGTAAGGTGGTACATAACTAAACCACTGGTGTATGTAGTGGTGTTGGTTGGGGCAGGTGAGGTGAGTTGGAAATGAACTCAAGCCTTTCGGGTTAGCAGTCCAGCTCTCTACCTCTAGCCCACTCCGTCCCCATACAGTATGGTTACAATTGCATTTTTGTAAAGTAATCCATATATAAATCCTTGGGGTGTGTTTTTAAAGGGTGGGGGTTATTATGAGGTGGGATCCTGACATCAGAAGCGGTGTTGCGTGACTTTCTGTGTTAGCGACTCTGGTCGGGGGTAGTATTTCTGAGTTCAAATAGTGTGTAAATATTTGGCTATCCTGGGGTGTGGGGTTACAGTGGAGTTTCAATTTTACAGGTCACAAGCCTTTTCTCTAAGTAATGTACATCTTAAATACTTGCATTTTAGTAAGGTGATATTACCATGAGGTTGGGTGGGTACACAGGAAGTAAGGAAAGAGTACTGGTGGTAGAGACAGTTGTCCAGCGTGGGTAAGAAATTTTAAAAGGGGGTGGGTGCGTTGGGCCAGACATCAAGAGCGATGTTGCGTGACTTTTAATGTCAGCGGCTGAGCTGGGGCGGGTAGGATTGGTGTGTTCGAGTCGCGTGTTGGGGTGTGGGGTTGCGGTGGAGATTCCTTTTAGAGGTCACAAATTCACTACAAGTGTTCTCATAAGAGAGTTCAACTAAGTTCATGCATGTTATTAAAGGTAACAAACAGACCAAAAAGGGGAAAAAAAGGGGTGGTGGTGGGTATGAACTATAGCCTGTGTAAGTAAACAATACACGAAAATAATTGTGTACAAGCTTTTCCTTTAGTAATGTACATCTTGAATGCTTTCATTTTAGTAAGGTGAACCACTGATGTAAACCGTAGTGTTAGTTAATATAAAATAGAGTGGGTACACAGCAGGGGTGTGGTCATAAGGGGTAGGGGTAAGGAGGTGGGGGTTACACAGTTTATTTATAAGCTGTGTAGCAAAATACCAAAAATGGCAACAATAGTCAATAGGGGTCTTAAAGGTAATAAATAGATGATTCGAAAAGTGTTAGGGACGTAGGGGTTGTAGGGTTGGGGTTGTGAGGGCAGATACATCAGAAATGGGAGGGGTTGTTGAGGCACCCGAGGCGGTGGTGCGTTTCTAAGGTGTTGTGATGTTTGGGTTGACGTGTGTGTGTGTGTGTGTGTGCGTGTATGTATGTGTGTTAAGTGGTTTGTTTGTCGAGTCGTCTTTTAAAAATTCGGTCCAATGTCTGTGGCGTAATGTGTCTGTTGTCGAAGTGGGTTCTGAGTCTGTTTGTCCAAATAGTTTGTAGATCGCCACGATCTCTGCTTTCTGTTCTAGTTCTTTTCTGTCTTTGTGTTTGGGTAGTTTGTTTAGTGTTATCGCTACGTCTACGTCAAATGTCTCGTTTCTGGTCACTATTTGGGTCTCTAGAGTCTTTTTCATTGTTTGTATAGTGGGACAGTCTAGGTCAGGGGTCGGCAACCTGCGGCTCTTTGGATGTCGTGGTGCGGCTCTTCAGCTCCATACACAAATATTAATATTATCTTTTTTAACTCATAAAAATATTAGTCTGCAACAATCGGTACTGAACGATATAATAATAAAATAAACAATAAATACTCCCTATTATATTAGAATATTTAGTTACTCCATTTTTCAATGTACTTCCTTGTTTTCTAAAACTGAGCTATTTAATTGTAAACAATGCCTGTGCTTTGATCATATTTATCGGGGCACGGGTTGACCTTCACTACAACCCAGCTCTCCATGGGGCGTGCTGTATGAAAGCCTTGAGTGTAAGTTAATCACTCACCGTGATATCACCGTTAATCACTCAACGCCTAAGTGTCGGGGACGGAAAGTGGCGCTCTTGTGAACCCGATTGCAAAATCGCAGGGGTACCACGTAAGGTCCCTAGCACGGTTTAATCATCGTGTGTCGTGTGCTGCATTAACAATATTGAAGGGTGCTCCTTAAAACTAACGTAGGCGTGTAGTGCTCGAGGGATGGCGCCAAATTGCACCCTGCAAAGACGCCGGATGACGCGCCTGATTCGATTTAGTGAGCGACTATAGCAACCCATTGTATCGAAAATGACCGTAGGCGCCATGGTGCTCACCTGGTGCTCACCTGTAAGCCCGGAGCGCCAAATGCGCCGGAGGGTGCGCCTGATTCGATTAAGTCAACGATTACTGTTGCCCATCGTGTCTTTAGTGTATAGCCTGTTTTAAAAACGAACGTAGGCGCCATAGTGCTGGCAGGCTATTCGGGTCGCGCAATCGACGAAGTGCCGGCGGCTGCGCCTGTTGCAGTTTTGCCGCTGAATATAGTAGTACCCCTTACCCGCTATGTAGGACGCCAGACTAAAGGGTGCCAAGTGCTAAATACCCGCTCTAGAACTCTGGGCGCCAAACTATGTATTGACGAAAATCGCACCCTCCCGGGCGCTGCCCATAAGAATTTTTTTTTCGCAGAAATCTACTCGGGAGTATTCTCATTTATTCTCAATAGTTCCATGACGATCGGTGTCGATCCGGAATCGACTTTTTTTTTTATAAACCGAATCGCGCCCTTTTTGGCTCTTCTGTCTCAAAAGGTTTCCGACCCCTGGTCTAGGTAGATGTGTGATTCTGATTCTAGATAGTTTTGTCTACATAATGTGCATTTCCTATGAGGGTGGTGTCCTATGTGTGTTGAGTTGTAGATAAGTCTATAGGCAATTTCTCTGGCTTTAGGTGTGATTGTTTGGAGGTAAAGGTTTCTAAAGGTGTCTATTTGTGCATAGTTCCTACACAATTTTATTCTATTGTGTAATGGTGTGGCGAGTTTGGTAAAAAGCTTTTTGAAGATATTTTGTGATTTTTTTGTTTGTAATAGATGTTCGTTGTATTTTAGTACTTGTATGCATTGGGTGTAGAATGTGCTTAGTTTGTATCCTATTGGGTGTGGTGAATTTTTGTTTATTATGCTGAATTTGTTTAATTGTATCCAGTGGCGTAGCCAGGATCGTCTCAAGGGGGGGGGGGGTTCAATTTTTACCCGGGGACAAACTTTCGATTTGCACCCCCCCCCCCTCAAACTTTCGATTTGCACCCCCCCTCATACTTTTTATATATACCGAGGGGTCTATGGGGGGGGGGGTTATGACCCCCCCTAACCCCCCCCCCTGCCTACGCCACTGAATGCCTGGGTGGACTCAAGGACATTCTACTGATTTGAACTCAAGACTCTCGGGTTAGCAGTCCAGCTCTCAACCACTTGGCCATGCCATTCCATGATGAAGTACAATACTAGCCCAATAATTGTAAACAAAAGTATTGGTCAAGCCCTGGCTAAGTTTAGATAGTTGTGGAATTAACCTCATTGGACTTGCCAGGTCCAAGCTGTTCCCATATTCTTTTCTAAATAGCAGCATAGAATCACCAAATCCTGTAAGAAACTGCTACATTTTGTCCGCTTTCCTTGCATTACAATTACTGAAACATATCTTCGAAGTAAAAGACATGTTTTAGATAGCTTTTGAAAATCCGGAATTACATTACCATATTTATCAAAGATGAATGGTAGTATATTGAAAATAAACCTTCCATTATTAACTAACAAAAAAAAAAGAGGATTTAAAGAACAAATTCATCTATCACAAAAAGTGATCAGTAAAAGAGTGTGTTTAAGAAAGTATTTTCATGAATGTTTGAATAGTAGACCTCCATTGTAGGCCTACAGAACCTGAATTTCTATCATACAATCTATGCAACATAACAGCTTTTGATAACATTTCACAATCTCATCAAAGCTAAAACATCACCATTAAAAACATACCAAAAAAAATCTTTTGTCCTTAACAAAAGCCTATGGGTAGGAAAATTTCAATTTTGTATGTGCTCGATATGAAGGCAAAGAATAAAAATAAATGATTGAAATTTCACAATCAGACAATAGTTTTTTTTTTATCTGTAACTGAAAAATCACAATGAGCAGTAATACTAGAAAAAAATTTTTTCATGTCAGTATTAGAATAATGAGCCACTTTTTTGTTTACCATGTAGGTCTACTTTGTGCAGAAAAGTGTGGACCTGTATACATATGTAGACCAGTGTTACAGTTAGAGGCTTATGTTACATGTTACGCTCAGTCAACTAGTATTAGAGGCCTATGTTACAAGTTACACTCAGCAAGTCAAGTTAGAGGCCTATGTTACAAGTTACACTCAGCAAGTCACCACAATGTAACACTAACAAATCAGATTAGGCATTTAGACTTTTGGCTTTTTTAATATAAAAATGTTTGACAATACCAAATAACAGACTGTTAATATCAAATAAATGCAATGTAGGCGTCCACACACAGACACAACAAGCATTAAGTTCTATAGACACACTGAACCAGAACACCCACCACAATACATTCTAACACGCCATTTCTGCAAACTATTCATACTTTCTAATCCACAATACAAATCCAACTTTTATTCCCTAGCAATTTACTTATGGCAGAATATACCATACACTATATTTTGCCAGTGTAGGGGGAAAATGTAAGAAGCGCTAGGCTGGAAATGTTTCTTGTAGTGTCTCTTCCATTCCATCCAGCAGTGATTAAACTTGGTTTTCTCTAACAGACACAATAATAAATAGGCATTGTTGTATTTAGAACAGGTTTGTACAGATTTAGTGTTCAAAACATTGACAAGTTTTTCTTCCCAAGAATTAGTAAAAGAGATCTTTATCAATCTTCATTAATAATCCATAATCTAAACCCAAAGCTTTACTGAAACATACATATTGAGAATTAAATTTCACTAAAATCGATCGTTTTATATTAAATAGTATAGAAATAATATATTACATTTTATAACGCATTGTCAGGTTTACATTTTCATGAAAAATTAAATGAATCAAAATATATATTTTTTTCAGCTGTCTTCATCCACCACCAATGGCCATGAGGAATATTAGAAGGTGGCATATCAAATACATCAAAAAAGGAATACCTTGCCCACAACCAAACGTTGTTATTAAACTTTGATAAGGCCTCTCTCATCTCTACATCTATGAAATCTTCAAAGAGAGCTGTGTGTCTCTCTCTGGTTAGTGGGATCTCTGCAAATGAGGTGAAGAAAATCTCCATTCCAGATAGCATTGTATTAGCTACAATTAGGCAACCTTTTTCAGGTAGGTAACGGTAACTGTGTGTAAGGAATTCAAAGACTACATCCCTCTTATCCAGGAAAGAACCTGCCAGTGACTTGCTTTCTAGGCTAATCTCTGGTGTGGCCAACAAGTAATGTTTCATATCCACTTTAGCTTCCTTGTGTTTTTGTAACAGAAAGTAAGAATCTCCAAAATAGTGAAAAAAGCTTTTCAAATATCCTGCTTGTGTCACCAAACATTTGTCAGAATGTTGAAGGTATCTCCCAGCATGTTGTAGTATTTGTATGTGTTTCATCACCATAGTTTGATTGGCCTATAAAGAAAATTAATTCAATCAACAGATTTGAAGTTAATGCACAAAAGTGTATTGAAATTATGTACAACAGCGAAGTACAAGTTTTGACAAGAGTTTATTAATTAAACTATAGCAAGTGTACAATTAAATAAATGCTTAGGGTAAACAAGGTAGTAAGTAAAGAGGTTCAAGCATAGTTTTTTATAATTGGTATTCAAATTTTATGAAATATCTGAACATCGTAAAGATTTTTTATATCCTTAACATACAGATTAGCATAATGCCAAAACAATTATGAGAGAATTTTTTATTTTAATAGTTAAAAACAACTTTCTAAAATAATGTGTAAATCAATGCATAATATTTACTTTATACTTTATATTAGAAACATTTGTGTGAGTGCACTCAACTACTTCCAAAAGTTTCCTGATCATCAAGTGAACAGTATAGCCATTCATAAAGGAAAGACAGATATACCTAAGGTATACCTAAGTTAGTAACTTAGAGTAGTTTTTATATAAACAGATTGAAAAGAGTTGTTTTTTTTTAATAAAATAAAATTTTAAAATTATATATTTTTATAGTTATCATGAAACTAGAAAAATATTTTGCCCTTAATGATTATATCAAATACATTTAAACTTTAAATGAGCATTTCAAATAAAACAGTCTTAATTAAGCAATGTTTAATTACATTTTTATATTAATATCCACAGCAACTTACTTGTGCTTATATATTTAAAAATAAAAGTTGTATGTTAACATTGCTAGCTCTAAAACTAATATTTCATAGCAAAGCACATACACAGGACGGTTTTTAAAAAAAATGGAGTAAATGCATGGTGATTCAAATACATTTCTTTTAGCACTGTTTATGTTTTAAAAAGTTGTAAAACAAAATTTACAATGAAACTAAACATTTGATAGACTAAGATGCTAACTGAAAGTTTTTTGTTTGTCCTGGGCTGCCATGCTCCACCACCAGTGACTCTCTGGGATATTAGCAGGGATTTTCTCATCTTCCAGAATTTGATATTTACTAGTCCAAAGCTTGAGTTCCACATCAAACTCTTCTCTGGTAAAAATAAATGGTCTGTAGTTTTCTACCCGAAGATTTTTATACACACCAACACGGCCATGGCACGTAAAAGGTTTGTAAGCAAATGTAGTGAAGAAAAATTCCATGCCAGACCTCAGTCTACATACACTGGATGGTCTTAGCAAATAGCCATAATCTGCCATATTTTCCTGTTGTATCTCCATGAAGAAGATCACAGAACAGAGGTTTTTAAAAAATGTATCAGACACGGCCTTGCTAAGCTTGCTCATTTGTGGTGTTGTTGTCAGGTAACTTTTCACATCAAAGTCAATCCCATGTTCTCTTCTCATACTCATTACAGAATCATTAAAATTTTCAAACAACCTCTCCATAGGAAAGGAATATGGCACATTATTCCTCTCAATGTGGTTGATGTAAAACTTGGCTCTTGATAGTGTCACTGCTATTTGAGACAAGATCTTTGGTGTGTCCTAAAATATTTTAAAACCTCAGATTAAAAAAAAAGTTAAAAATCATTGTGGCTTAAGCTTCTCTTATCAAGAACTTAATTTTAAACAAAGTGCAAAGAATTCACTCTATTATGAGAGACGGGGTGGTCAAGTAGTAGAGCATATGACCACAAACCCAAAAGCCGCAAGTACGAATCTCTAGTTCATGTCAGAAGAACGTCCCTGTGTCCACAACTCACATTAGGGAAAGTAAAGGTGGCTGGGAATAGCGTTAAACATGCTATCCCTTCATTTTCAAAGGTGAGTGCAACAGCATGACCCTACACATAGCCTGACCCATGGACCGTCCGGCTCTAAGGTTGTTTACTTTTTTTCATTGTTATATGTGGGCAGTTGGTCTTAACTTTTTTCATTGTAATATGTGGGCAGTTAGTCTTAACTTTTTTCATTGTAATATGTGGGCAGTTAGTCTTCTGTGTTACTAATGTTGACTTTTGGTTGAGAGAAAATTAGATTTTAGTGGATAAGTGAAGGTTGGGTTATGTGAATGTTCTCATGTTAATTTAGGGTAAATTCTGCTTTTTGAAATGTAATTCCAGACATTTTTCATATTTTTATGGAAACTTTCAATAACAATCAACAAACCAAATGCATGGATGTAAAAAGATATTTTAAAATCAAAATTTTAAAGTTAAATTTATTTAAAAGTTGTAAATATACAACAAATCATTAAAACACACCAAAATTTGATAGACTAAGATGCTAAATGAAAGTTTTTTGTTTGTCCTGGGCTGCCATGCTCCACCACCAGTGACTCTCTGGGATATTAGCAGGGATTTTCTCATCTTCCAGAAGTTGATATTTACTAGTCCAAAGCTTGAGTTCCACATCAAACTCTTTTCTGGTAAAAATAAATGGTCTGTAGTTGTCTACCCGAAGATCTTTATACACAGCAATACGGCCATGGTAAGTATAAGGTTTGTCAGCAAATGTAGTAAAGAAAAATTCCATGCCAGACCTTATATTACAAACACTGGAAGGTCGTAGCAAATAACCGTAATCAGCCATATACTCTGTTTGCCTTCTCATGAAGCGATTCGCTGCAATAAGCTTGCTTAAAAATGTAACAGACACAGTCTTGCTCAGCTTGCTAATTTGCGGAGTTGTCAAATAATTTTTCACATCAAAGTCAATCCCATGTTCTCTTCTCATACTCATTACAGCATCATTGTAAGTTTCAAACAACCTTTCCATAGGAAAAAAGTATGGCACATTATTCCTCTCTGTGTGCTTGATGTAAAACTTACATCTTGATAGTGTTACTGCTATTTGAGACAAGATCTTTTGGGTGTCCTAAAATTTTTATAAAACATTAAATTAAAAAAGATTAAGATATGTACTGGGAAAAAATTCTGGCATAAGCTTCCCCCCTTCCCAAGAACTGAATTTAAAGTTAGTGCAAGAGTACACTAACATGTGGCCAGTTAGTTCATAGTCTCACTCAAGTTGACTTGAGTGAATGGGTGAAAGTTTGACTTGGTGGTTGAGTAAATGTTTGGCTTTAGTTGTTGAGTTAAGGTTTGGGTTTAGTGGTTGAGTTAAGGTTTGGCTTTAGTAGTTAAGGTTTGGCTTTAGTGGTTGAGCGATGGTTTGGTCTTGTGGTTGAGTTATGGTTTGGCTTTAGAGAATTAGTAAAGGTTGGGTTCGCATGGATGTTTTTATGTTATATTCAGGGTAAATTCTACATTTGAAATAATTTTTATGGAAAGTTTTAATAACATTCAATAAACCAAAAGCTTTGAGGAAAAAATTAAAAGTTTCAAGTCAACATTTACTAAAAAGTTGTAAACAAATCGTAACAACACAACCAAACATTTGGATTCATTAAGGTGGTAAATGTACATATGGCTTCTCATCTTCCAGAAATTGATATTTACTTTTAATAGTCATTATGGATAAATTAGGAGGTTACATTTGAGTAGATCATTAGGTAGTAGAAAGTTATACTAGTCTGACTGTTGGATAGTGAAACTGTATAGGATAGTAGCTACCTGTAGACTTAGTGAAATGTCTTTTAAAAACACCTATTTCGGCTGAGCATGGGTCTGACCACACTATAGCTTCAACTGCTGAAAAGACAAACAGGTGAACTCTACTTCACCTGCCCCATGTACTAACAGGCAATTTTATCATTCCCATTTTAAAAAAAAACAAATTGAGAAGGAAAAAAAACAAAGATTTCTATAAAATAATTAAGGCCTGAAATTTATTATTGGAATAGATTCTAGATCTAGATAGACTCTAGATCTAGATAGATCAATCTACAGTCTAAGTCTAGTTTTTCCATAGATCTAGGGTTAGATCTCTAAATCTAGAATCTCTAGATCTAGAATCCAAATAGATAAAGTAAATTTTATAAGTTTAGGCCGAGAAAATTGTATTGTATAGGGCTACATTTAACAGCGTACGTACATCTAAATCAAATTTAAATGAAATAGTTCATTTCTTTATATTCTAAAATCGGAAGATGACGCCATTATTTTTATTTAGTGTACTTTCCTTAGTGTAAACATTTGTTTATTGCGTTCTTGTCACAACTATAAACAATTTTCCAGTTGCATAATTAAAATTGTTCTACATTCGAATATGCCTTTATTTTTATTTTTCTTCTTTAAATAAAATTTTGTTTATACATTTAAAACATCTACCATATTATTTTCAATTGCTGAAGATACTGATATCATAGCCTGTGAAAATATTTTGCGGACACAGAGAGAGAGAGAGAGAGAAAGAGAGAAATTGCGCACATGGATATTAGGATAAGACCATGCAATGCAAGTAAAATCATAGCATGTGGTGTTTACTTTTATGGTTCTAGAATCTATAGGGATGACAGAAGGATGGAAAGACATAAGGAAGTACTGACACACTACCTGGCGGCTTATATTATACTAATTATAGTTATAAATATATATATATATTTAACTATAATATACGCCTAAAATGCCCAGCACTGATTCCATCACTCTAGCACTCAGCATCCTTGATGACTCATCAAACATTTGTGCAACATTGCGACAGATTGTGTTGAAGGAAATACCCTCCAACATTACCATATTAAGCATGAAGAAGTTTGGTATAAATAGGTGAAATATACATTTTTGTCAATCATAAAAATAATTTCACTATAATTAAGCATTCTAAAAAATAAAAAGCTTAGAAACATTTAATGTTACCTTAGCTAAAATGACCATCGTTATTGTAACTGCTAGGGGCTAGTCTGATTTAAATCCTGATGAAAAAAGGCTGAAAAAATGAAACAAAAAACACGAAAAATAAATAAAAACTCAATAACAATGTACGCTGCTTCCAAAACTACATTATTATTAAACTACCTTAATTCAGCCTGCCCAGTTGTGAGATGAATATTGCTTTCAATACTTTAACCCTTTGAACCCACTAGTTTGCTTATTAAGTTTAAGCCCATGCCTCTGCAGACTGATATCTGTCTGAGACACATTAGCCCAGAATGACCAGTTTCTTTTTTAGGTACCTCTAGCATCACCCCCCCCCCCCCACCGGGATAAAATTGAAAAAAGATATAATTTATATAGAAAATATATGCTCTATGCCTATATACTATATAAAGCTCTAGACTCTAGAGTCCTAATTGGTAAAACTCCATTTTAGTGTATTTTATTGCCGCTTCACCTCCAGTTGAGTGTATTTATTATAAACACAACCGAAGCACACTATTTAGCTCCAAAAACGCGTCACGTGACCAAAAGCGCGCGATTGGTTGGTTTTCGTAACGTATTCTTTAAATAAAACAAAAATAATCATGAAACGAAAACTGACGCGACAGTGATTTCAGTGAGAGTGAATGACAGTGAACGTGGATGATGAAACTACTTCAAACATAATCTAGGGTAATCTATCATTTTGGGTATGTAAAAGGGTTCGGCGTGGTCGAGTCGGTAAAGCTCATGGTTGCTAAACCGAAAAGTCTCGAGTTCGAACCCTTGGGCAGATGAGGCTCGTTAGCTGGGGACAGCCACTCTTCTAGGAGAGACAACTCCAAAATTAAACAACTGCTGCCTTGTAGATTGTTCTTGGTTGGACAAAGGCTATGGAAGCAAATCCAAAAAGAAAAGCAGGCTGAAATCGGAGTCAATGGCCTCAATGGCGCATAACCAGTTGACACGTAACGCTTAATTGTGTTGGAGGCGTGGTCGAGTCGGCAAAAAGCTCATGGTTGATAAATTCGAACAGTCTCGAGTTCAACCCCACTGGCAGATAAATCTCGATCCCCTTCAACACTAATAATTAAGAACGAAGAAGAAGAAGAAAGAAGGGTATGTAAAATCGCCCGCGGCTATTAATGCACGAAAACGTTACCTCATTGTCAAGGCTTTAATAGAAGTATATTGTGATATGTTTCTGTCAAATATTATAGATAAATGATTGATAAACCTAAATCAATGGCTAAATATATCAATATACTATTACTATAGACCAGAAATTAACTTTAAACAGCAGTGTCTGCGAGCAAGATTTGCTATATATTATATAAACAGCAGCCATTTGTAAAATAGAGTAGCTTCCCCCTGAATCTCGCGCTATAAGTTTATAAAAATAAAACTTAAACAAGATGGCGCTATAGTAAATGAGCATGGTTGCATCTGTTAGAAATAGCGCTAGTCTTCATTTATTACTGAAAAGTTTTAATTCAACTGTTTAAAAACAGGTAGATCTACATAAATGAAAGAAGGAAACATTTTTGAATTTTTTAAAACATAAATCCTCATCAACATGTGAAATAATTATTAAAATTTAAGGAGTCACCTGTTTTTCACATTACAAGTCGCAGGCGATTTTACTACGTAGTTAGGCTACCCAAAACCGTAAAAACGATAGAGATTACCAAATCTATTCTAAATTAAATTCTAAACTTTAAAAAGTTTTTCACCTTTCAAGCCAATTTGAAACGTTTATTTAATCTAGATTAGATCTAATCTAGACCTTAGAAATGATACGCAAACTTTAAGTTCAACATGAGGAGGAGAAGATTAAAAATCCTCTTTACTTACAACTTCAAGCGCGTAAAAGAAGTAAAACAAGGGAAGTAGAACTCTTGACCTCGATCTAGAGTCTAGATCTAGAATCTAGATTCTAAATGTTTACTTTAAAATAAGTAGATCTACAACGATCCAAACTTTTATCATCCATTTTACTGTTTAAAATTAGTCATGCGTAGTTATGGGCAAATAATAAATAATTAATATTGTAGATCTAGAAAATCTAGTAGTTAAGCATTGTGCACACAAATTTAACACTTTTGATCCATTTAGGATGGACTATCCTATACATATTTACTAAATAGATAGATCTTGAAGATCTTACTAATTCACGGATTTAAGTCTAGGCTAGCCAGTGTTTCTTCCAGACTTTTTTCTCCGGGGGGGGGGGGGGGCACTTGAAATTTTCGGGGGGGGGGGGGGCGGTAAACTTTCTTCGGGGGGGGGGGGGGGCGGACACTGTTAAAAGTACATATTTTCTATATAAATTATATAAATTTCATTTCGTTCGGGGGGGGGGGGGGGGGGGCGGTAAAAAATTTCGGGGGGGGGGGGGGAGCCCCCCCGAAGAGATGCCTGGAAAAAACTCTGTAGGCTAGGGCTTTATACATTTTAATAATTTTCAGAAACAGTTGATTGACTGAATCTATATGGGTGCAGTTTATGCGAGTGCTAAAATACAGAGGAGTAAAAGTATTATAAACACACACATCTTAAAGACCCCGAACTCACATTACACAGTGGCAGAAACTGATTTTTTTTAAAAATCACCCATTCCCCACTCTTTATTTCAGGCATGTGTCCGCCCCCTGACACGCAATATTTAATAGTGTTTGAGGAAATCCTCTTCAAACTATTTCAGTTACGAAGTAGAATATAAAGCGGTTCTGGGTACAATCCCTATTAAATACCGCCAAAATTAACATCTTCTCAAGCAGTGTTTCTTCCCGACATTTTTTCGGGATTGGGGCGGGGAGGGAGGGCGGGCACTGACATTTTTGGGGTGGGAGGAGGGGGTGACAAACTTAAATTTCCGAGGGGGTGGGGGAGCGGACTGGTTGACATGTATATTTTACATATAAATTCTATTTCGTTCGGAGGGTGGGGGGGGGGGGGGGGGGAGGCGGTAGAAGTGCTTCAAGGAGGTGGTGGGGTGCGAAAAGTAATCGACTAAAAGGTCTTTTTGACAAGTTTGTTACTTGACTGTAAACTCTAAAAATGGTTAATAACCTACATTGGATAGCGCAATCAATCTGTATTCATAGATCTAAAGATGATCAACTAATTGCAACAGGGCGCTCTGTGTGTAAACAGAGTTTCTTCCAGGCATCTCTTCGGGGGGTCGAAGCCCCCCCGAAAAATTTTTACCGCCCCCCCCCCCGAACGAAATGAAATATATAAAATTTATATAGAAAATATATACTTTTAACAGTGTCCGCCCCCCCCCCCCCGAAGAAAGTCTATCCCCCCCCCCCGAAGATTTCAAGTGCCCCCCGGAGAAAAAAGTCTGGAAGAAACACTGTTCGGAGGGGGGGGGGGGGCGAAGCCCCCCGAAAAAATTCTACCGCCCCCCGAACGAAATGAAACTTATATAATTTATATAGAAAATATATACTTTTAACAGTGTCCGCCCCCCCCCCCCCCAGAAGAAAGTCTATCCCCCCCCCCCGGAGAAAAAAGTCTGGAAGAAACACTGTGTGTAAACTGCCTAGCTTTGCTTAGGTTTTAAAATTAAGAAATTGAGAATTTGAGTGAATATTAAATTAACTTTTGCAACTGATTTTTACAATTTCATTACAATACATAACTTAATTTATAACGATATGTTTTTCAAAGAATGCTATATTTTGTAATTTTTGGTTTCTTCTATAAATAAACCGGGAGTGATCTCCCCTAAACTTTCTCGAATATTCTTACATAACTCGGAATATAGACATGATTTTTAATTACTTAAACTTTTAAAAATAGAATAGAATCTCGTAGAAAAAAGAATTGCGCCAAATCAAAATGTGCATAATAGTGCGCAATATTATTAGTACTCTATAAATTTTGCATGCGTTTTTTTACGAATCGGAAATAGCGTAAATTAGTACTTCCGGTCAACGGAAATTACTCAAAATTTGACGGAAGGTAGAAATTTACATCTTTTACTTACATGTGAAATTTCATTTATCTATCTGAAATAGTACTCAAGTTATAGGCATTTGAAAAATTCAAAGTAGAAAAAGTACCACTTTCGGTTATTGGAAATCGCTCAAAAGTTGATACGGATCTACGATTTTGATAAAATACTTATATATGAAATTTCATCAACCTAGCTGTAACGGTACTCAAGTAATCGTGTTTACACAGAGACACACACAGACATACGGACAAGATTGAAAAATTATGTTTTTCCGTATTAGTGAGGTGTAAAACGGCGAGATTTGTAAAAAGCTCTAATATTTTTTTGCACGATTACAATACTTTCTCTATACTTCGTACATATGTCACCAGGCGCCGACCCTAGGGGCGCCAAAATGGGTTGTAAACTCGAACTTTCAAACTGGTTTGGCGTCAGGTTAGTTCATTGAACCAATTGCGTCCTACATTAAATAGTTAATCAGTTTAATAATGTAGACGCCATTGGAGTAGGTCTGAGTCAAAGCCTGATGTTATAAATAGTTAAACTTCATCTCTCTTTATTTCTTTATAAAAAGGTTATGGAAGTTTTTTGAAGGTATTTTTCTGAAAACGTTTACCGGACGAATGCGAAATGATACCAACAACCATAGCTCTTCTATTATATAGGCCACATGCTGCCCATTATGCTGTTCAGTACATGCTTTGGTTGGGTGACGCTTACCTTGTCATGTTAAAATAAATAGCATGTAATTGAGTTAGTTCGAAGTGAGTTTTCATACAACAAGCCCAAAGCACTAATTAAGGCTGTCGCAAGAGATGTAGTAACATGTCAATGAATTTTAGTTTTTTCTGGTTGCGCTTTTTTCCGTTGCGCATCTTTCTGGAAACCGCCCAAACGTCACTACTGCCAGGGTCTCAATTTATCCAACTGTTATAGTAGCATGCAATATCCATTGTGTATGGCGCTCTTTAAAATGAACGTAGGAGCCCACAGGGCCATACACTCGTTGCAGGACGCCCTTGACTCTAATTGGTTATTAATATTAGTAGCCTACTGTGTCCTTAGTAAGTGGTGATTTTTTAAATGTATATAGTGGCCATAGTGGTCAAGTTAATACAACTAGTTTTTTTTTATTGGTTTCTGTTTTGCACAAATAACATTATATGGACGTCTACTAATTATACTTGTAGCAGTAGTGACACATTTAAAAACTAGTTTTCACAATGCTGGTTGTTAACTTATTCCTTCCATAATCACATGTTGTATCATACTTTGTACTCTTGTTCAACCCTAATAACATGTATTTTACTCTTATTCTACCCTAATCACATGTTGTATTTTACTCTTATTCTACCCTATTCACGTTGTATTTTACTCTTATTCTACCCTAATCACATGTAGTATTTTACTCTTATTCTACCCTAATCACATGTTGTATTTTACTCTCATTCTACCCTAATCACATGTAGTATTTTACTCTTATTCTACCCTAATCACATGTAGTATTTTACTCTTATTCTACCCTAATCACATGTTGTATTTTACTCTTATTCTACCTTAATCACATGTAGTATTTTACTCTTATTCTACCCTAATCACATGATGTATTTTACTCTTATTCAACCCTAATGACAAGTTGTATTGTAATGTACTCTTATTCTATCTTAATCACTTGTATTTTACTTCTACTCTTTACCACAACTATTTTGACATAAGAATAACTTTAAAATACCATCTTGTAACAAACCAGTACAGATGTAACCCACAACGTAAACAACTTGCTTTATCATTGACAATGACATTTTATTTTTACTTAAGTTGTAAGTGCAATATATAAAAATTATGTTATTCATTTTAATTTTAACCTAAAAAAAAATATTCAAACCTACCAATATCCATTTCATTGAAATATTTGGAAATAAATGTTAATAAGTTAACAATTTTAGCACTAATCATTCTGTTGGTTATACATGCACACTTTAATTAAGTCAATATATATTATAAATATATGAAATAAAAATCTCACAGCATCATTTTTAGAAAACTTAAGATATAAACAGCTTGTCATGTTTTTTCTGGGCAGTCAATGCCCACCACCAATGACTCTCTGGGATGTTAGTAGGGATGATTTCATCTTCTTTGAATTGGTAGTATTGGGTCCAATGCCTAAGGGCTTCATCAAATTCTTGAAGTAGTTCACTACATGGAGCAACACAATTTTTTAACAAGACATTGTCACGTTTTGTTACTGGAATCTCAGCAAATGAAGTGAAGAAAAATTCCATGCCTGACCTGACTCTACAGACATTGGATGGTCTCAGGAAATAGCCAAATCCACCTAAATACAGGATATGAAACTGCATAGTGTAGGTGACAGGCTGGAGGTTATCAATATATTTGTTGGCTATTGTCCTGCTGAGTCTCAACATTTCAGGTGTTGCGGTCATGTATTCTGTCAGATTAAAATCATTGCTATGTTCCTTCCTAACATGCAGTATGGAATCCGTAAGGTTGGCATAGAACAGTTCTACAGGCAATGAACTTGCTTCCTTGTTCTTGGCTAAACCAATGTATCTCTTGGCCCTTCTAAGTAGTGATGCTGCTTTATTCATAAGAATTACTGTGTCCTAGAATAATAAAAAAACTTTAACTAGGTAATTAGAGAAACTAAATTAATAATAAAAAAAATGGATGTGTTATCTGCTTATGTTGAATTTGTTTCATGTTACTTAACAAGGAGTAACGTTCAACTTTACCACACTGGCTCCACTAAAACTAATTCTACTAAAACAGACATGGACTAAATTGCCAAATGATGTTTTTTTGATCCGCAAGGATGTGAAACGTCAAAATATCTATTTGGATTTTATGCACAATTATAATGCAGCCTTTATGTTCCGTATATGATACAGTATAAAACTGTCAGAATATTTGTTAATATTCTGTAGCCGTAGCCCACATGTTCCAAACAATTAGCATATGAGGTCATCACAAGAAGAGCAAAGAGAAACTGGACCTAAACAATAGGCTTAGATTTATATGGAGTATACTTAGTGTCAACCCATGCAGTCTACATTGGAAAAAAATGTGAAGTAAAACCACTAAAAATAAACTTTTGGTTAGTCGGGAAATGTGGACATTGTGGAGGAGTTAAACTTCCAAAATGAAATTCCAGACTTTTTTGGTCTGAAATTCACTTTTCAAAATTCCAGACTTTATCCAGACTGCCACGGAATTCTGTTTATTTAACTACAGAAAACATCATTTGAATCAATTTTTTCATCATCATCACCCAATAGCATGTGCAGGCATACCAGGCAAACTGAACTTGAGCTTCTGGTCTACAAAATCTACCTAAGACTTTAGTTATTTCAACAATTTTCTTTATTACTCAACTTTACAGGTGCCATTCATGTGTAGGCCTATTTGAATTAATAATCAAAAGTTTTAAGATCTATTTTTTTCTCAGCAGTCTTATACCACCACCAATGGCTCTGAGGAACATTAGAAGGTAGCACCTCAGTTGAATGAAACAAGAAAAAGCTTGTCCACAACTCAGCTCTTTCATTAAATTTTGACAAAGCATCTCTCATCTCCACATCAATGAAATCCTTAAATTGTCCATTATGCCCTTCTCTAGATAATGGGATCTCTGCAAATGAGGTGAAGAAAATCTCCCTTCCAGATAGCACTGTATTAAATACTACAGGATTGGTGTAATCGTGTAGATAACAACTACTTTTTGTAAGGAATTTACAGACCAAACCCTTCTTGTCCAGGAAAGAACCTGCCAGTGACTTGCTTTCTAGGCTAATCTCTGGTGTGGCCAACAAGTAATGTTTCATATCCACTTTAGCTTCCTTGTGTTTTTGTAACAGAAAGTAAGAATCTCCAAAATAGTGAAAAAAGTCTTTCAAATGTTCTGTCTGTCTCGCCAAAGATTTGTCAGAATGTTGAAGGTATCTCCCAGCATGTTGTAGTATTTGTATGTATTTCATCACAATGACTTCATTAGTCTAAAAATTAAATATTATGAGATTAGTAATTAATGTGTGAAAGGGTTTTAAGTTTTAACGACAGGTTTATTAAGGATGATGAACATGGAAGACTTGTAAAGTATCAAGTACAATAGTACCTCAACATTTAATGCCCCAACATATAAGATTTTTTAAGATACAAGTCATTGAGCAAGGGATAATTTGTTTTGCAATACTAGTGAAATTTGATAGAGTCAGTAAAAGCTAATGGTTGCTAAACCGAAAAGTCTCGAGTTCGAACCCTCGGGCAGATGAGGCTTATTAGCTGGGGACAGCCACTCTTCTAGGAGAGACAACTCCAAAATCAAACAACTGCTGCCTTGTAGTTTGTTCTTGGTTGGGCAAAAGCTATGGAAGCAAATTCAAAAAGAAAAGCAGCACGAAATCGGAGTCAATGGCCTCAATGGCACATTACCTGTTGACACGTATCCTTAATTGTGTTGGAGGGGGATTCCTTCCAACACTAAAATTAAGAACGAAGAAGAAGAAGAAATACAAGGTTTCAGTTGGTGGAAAAGAAATACCCTAAAAAGTTTGCAACTGGTCGAGCATCTGAACCTGAGCTTTGTATTTACACTAAACAAACTCATTTCCGCAACATTCTGAAAGGGGAAAAAAAAACCCAGTAAGTTTAATTATGTTTAAAGAATTCAGAGCTGGTGCAACCACTAAGAAGAGGTAGGCAGTCACCATAGATGGGTTACACTAAATTAAGCATGAAGTTGTGTGGTCGAGTGGAAATGTGGGTGAATGCTGTGCTGGAAGTTGCTGGTTCGATTCCATCAGATGTCTTGTCTTTTGACACTAAGTTTATGCCCCCTATTATCAAAATTTTATTTTTTACTGTTGTTCATGGATGGGTTCCGTTTGTTAATTTTTTAATCGTTTGTAGCGTGATTAATGGCACATTTATACCTATTTCTGTATCAAATTAAAGCAATATCTCTGAAAGGTTTAATTTTAAATGTTCCACCCAATTTGAGCCTCTAAATTATTCTGAATAATTTAGATCTAAGTATTAATAACAGTATTTGGATCATGCCAGGCTATATAACTAATATAAGAAACAGTCCTAAAGAACATGCTCTGTATTCTCCCGGGCCATGCCACATGGGCAAGTTTTGCCTTAATCAACTTTTAGTTTTTTATGCATGTGTTGTTTTAGTCTGTTGTGGCCTGTTCTGAGTCTGAAGATTATGTGTTGTTGTGCAGATAAATATAGTGGAGCATACAATTTCATACAAGGTTTAAAGAATCTAAAAATATAATGTGAAAATGTTACTGTAATCAGGGATGTGCTCAGACCTTGAAAAGAATTTGATTTTGTTTTGGACTGGACTTATTGTTTTGTGAGAGTTAAAAATAAAGCAGTCACACAATTATTGTATTAATTAATAGGTTGATATAGCTAATAATTTAAATAACGAAATTTATGCGACTCTAAAAAAAAAAGAAGTCCTATCGAACTGAGATTTGGTTTGCTGGGCTTTGACTACACATGCTTTGATGATGGGTTGTGACCATAGGTGGTTAGTCCACGGTGGGGTTCGATCCAAGGTTCTTTGTCCATACATGGTAAAGAGCATTTTTGTATATTTTTTAAATTTAGTTACATAGGCCTATATGGCTAGTATTTTAAATAATTTTTTTTTACCCAATTAGGCCTAGAGAATTGATTTCCTATATTTAATTTAGCAATACGAAAACTAAACAGAGCTTAAAAAGCTGCTCTAGTCAAGTAAGAGGTTCCAGATACAACTTATGCTACTGGGAGGTTTTAAAAATAAATGTATTATTTTTAACTCAGTCTAAAAGTAAAAGTTGTAAATCCATTGTTACCTTAGCTAAGATGACCATTGTAGCCGCAGATGTTTTCTAAATTCTGATGAAAGCAGGCTGAAATAAGAAAAAAATACTGATTAAAGACAGATTACATAGGCACATAATAAAACTCATCATTTAGCCTACTGCCTTCACTTAGCCCTGCTCAGTTGTGACTGGTATGTTAAATGTTTCTTAGAATGTAAATTAAATTGATTGTTATTGTAATGTGTAAGGAGTCTTAGTCTACTCTTAACTAAATAAAAATTATATACATAGAATTAGAATTTCTAATATATAATTAATTAATTATATATATACTATATATATAGGGCCTATAGAGTTCTTTCATATGACGTCACGTCCGTTCGTGATACCTACGCCCGCCGCCACAGTGGTGTACACAAGACGTAAACACAATCAGCTGTTCGCCAGCGCTGGACGTGTTCACCAGCGCTGGACGTGTTCACCGTATGTAAAGAACCGCACCCGCGGAAAAGGAAAAATACGTTAAAAAACTTGAACTCTTAGGAATTGAAGATCCTTATACTGTTATTGACAGTTTCGTATAAATAAATATGTGGACAAAATTTCTAAATAAAAATACTGTTAGTAATACTGTTTGCGTTTAGAGTTAAAGTAGCCGAATCTGATCAAATGCAGTTCTCGATACTTTGTTTCATGTAAGGACAGTAAAATAATAAACTTCATTTTAATTATAAAAGATAACTATTAATAAAACAAATATGCTCGACCTTCACAAATACTAATAGTAAAAGACAAAGTCAAAAGTAATAGGCTAATAAGAATAATAAGATCTAATAGTAGGCCTAATACCTGGCTCCGCTGGGTAGACATAGAATCTAGAATCTACTTCTTTACTTAAATTTAATTACTTTAGATCTACATTCGATTCAAAATACACCCATAATAAATCAAAAGTAGTCATAATAGGCCTAATAAAGCATTTAATTGTCTCTAAGATCTAAAATCTCGCTCTATTATCTAATCATTTTTTTAGCAAACGAAATTTTCTGAAATTGAAATAGATTAGGCCTATATGACTAGACTTAGATCTAGAATCTGCTACTTAAATTAAATTGTAAAAACTTTATACAAGCATGTAGTTGATATTATTGTAGTAGAAGGCTTTAATAAATTACTAAGGCCTACCTACTTTGTTGTCTTTTACAGCAATATGTATCTGATACTGGACTGAGTTTAATTAAATTCAAATTCATATCTAGTAATTGGTCTACTAAGTTTTTGTAGCCTAGTAGTACAATCTAGATCATACCAGCCAACAACAAATAACCACATTATTATTATTTGGTTAATGATTAGGCTACATTTTTTTTTTAAATCCACTGTTTATAAAAGAAACAAATCAAGCTAGAAACATTATAAGTGAGATGGTTTAGAATAATAACAATGGACCCAGTCTACAATTGATACAATTGCAGGTCTACATAGGGCCTACAGTCTAGTAGTTTACAGTAGGCACCTAGTGTGTAGCTAGTATACTAGTGTGTAGCTGTCCAGAGTTAAGATTCTTAATGCCTTAATGCTTTCCCCTGATAAGCCATGTGTGCTATAAATGACATAACATGACACCGAGGTGAGAAGTGTTGAGGGGAGAGCAGTGGGACTTTCCCCTTTGTTCTCCCTGCTGGGCCCTGAGGGTCAAAATTATATAAGAAATACTATCTCTGTGGGGCTGGGTATCACGGAGGTGAGACATTTTCAGGGGAGGGCAGGGCAGACTCCTCTTTGGTTTTATTGTGGGCTAGATACAGGTGGGGGCAGCCATTATGAGATTACTTCCCTGCTGGATTATAAGGGTCTTAAATTGTATAACATGCTATCCAGATTGGTTATTACCCGTGGATTATATTAGCCGTTGTAGTGTGGGTTTTGTAGGAGTTAAGTGGTCTCACGTTTGCTACAGTAGATAACCTCTTACTGCATTTGATCAGCTTCGTCTACTTAAACTCTAAACGCAAACGGTATTACTAACAGTATTTTTATTTAGAAATTTCGGCCACATATTTATATTATCCACGAAACTGTCAATAACTGTATAAGGATCTTCAATTCCTAAGAGTTCAAGTTTTTTAACATATTTTTCCGCGGGCGCGATTCTTTACATACGGTGAACACGTCCAGCACTGGCGAACAGCTGATTGTGTTTACGTCTGATGTACACCACTGTGGCGGCGGGCGTAGGTATCACGTGATTTAGGTCACGTGTTTGCAAGGACTCTATAGAATATTATAGATTCTTCTACTGTCTACATCTAAAATAATCTAATATTCTAAATTAAATTAAAATTATTAGTTAGTAGTTAGAAATCTAGATCTAGAACTAAGAATCTGGTAAGTAGTGTAGTAACTAGATCTAGAGTCGAATCTAGACTCTAAGTACATTGTACAAGTAATTCAGTAGGTAGGGTAGGCCTATAAAAAAATCCTATAGATCTAGCTACTAAGCTACTCTAGCTAGAACTAGAACCTGTGAGTACTTGACTTGTGACTGATATGGAGTAGACTGAGTGAGACTCTAGAAAGTAGATATCTAGATCGATTCCCTATCTTAGGGCCTAATCACTTAATCTATAATCTTTGTCATACACTTATCAGTATCAGATCAGGTATTAAATAACTTTAAATAAGCGGGAGTGATCTCCCCTTAACTTTCAAGGAATATTTAAAAACTAGGCATGCTGCCCAGCTTCGCTTAGGCTTTCGAAAACACTAGGCATGCTGCCCAGCTTCGCTTAGGCTTTCGAAAACATTGAGAATTTGAATGCTTAATTAATTCGCCCGAGGGTCGGTCTACGACCTCAAGAGTTATGAAGAGGTTCCTCCGTGGACATTTTTTTTTAAATTTATAGCTCGTATAAGGTACCGGTCAGTCGAGGTCAGTTTTGACCCCCTCATCGTAGACTTTTCGGCCAACCGGCCCCCGTGTTCTGTCGCCCCAAGGCAAGGTCCTGCCAAATTTGAAGCGCCTGCGGCGCCGGGAAGTGCCCTATCGGACACCCGACAATCTAGATCTAGATTCCTAAAAGAATTTTTTTTTTAAGTTTAGCCCGAGCATAATTAAAAAAAATACATTAACCAAGTTGACTTGGTGTGTCTCGAACCCGCACCACCTGCGTGGTTTAATGTACACTAACATTTCCGCTATTTAGGCACCTTATAATATACGGAGAATGAAACAGGTATTTTAAAATCTTAACTTACGCGAATATGCCTATTCTTTCAAATTAATTTTTTTATCCCAAATTAGCCAGTTCCAAACAAAGATTTTGTATAAAATAAATAAGTCTTGAAATAGTTTAGTCCTAATATAGAAATTTATTTTTGGAATTGATTTTAGAGAAGTTAGAGTCTAAATCTAGATCTTAGCGTCTACGTCTAGATCTAGTTATTGCGTAGATTTAGATTTAGATTTAGTCTAGATCTAGAATCTCTAGATCTAGAATCCAAATACATAAAATAAATTTTATGAGTTTAGGCCGGAAAAATTGTATTGTATACATTTCATAGTGTACGTAGATCTAAATCAAATTTGAATGAAATAGTTCATTTCTTTTTATTCTAAACACGGCAGATGACGTCATTAGTTAATGTATAAGCAATAGTGACGTCACAGTTTTATGCGTTCTTTTTCACATCCATTAATGCTTTTCCGGTTGCATAAATAATACTGTTTCTCTACATTCGAATACGCCTTAAATTTTTATTTTTCTTCTTTAAATAAAATTGTGGTTATACATTTAAAACATCTAACATATTATTTTCAACAAAAGTCCGTATAAAGTTCTCCATATATCGCTGCCGTTTCTGACGTGATGTCCGGCGAAAATATTTTGCGGACAGACAGAGAGAGAGAGAGAGGTGCGAACGTGGGGTTTTATAGATTTAGATTGAGAATTTGAAAGCTTCATTAATTCGCCCGAGGGTCGGTCTACGACCTCAGGAGTTATGAAGAGGTTCCTACGTGGACATTTTTTTCCGATTTATAGCTCATATAAGGCGCCGGTCAGTCGAGGTCAGTTTTGACCCCCTCACCGTAGACTTTTTGGCCAACCGGTCCCCGTGTTCTGTCGCCCCAAGGCAAGATCCTGCCAAATTTGAAGCGCCGGGCACCCGACAACTTTGCTTTATATATTATAGAGATTAGCAAATTGCATAGGTAAACACAGATTTCAATAAAGTAATTAAGGCCTGAAATAATTTAGTATAGAAATGTTTTATTTTAACAGATTCTAGATCTGGGTAGGCTCTACATCTAGTTTTTCCGTAGATCTAGATCATCTAGATCTAGATCTAGAATCTCTAGATCTAGAATCCTAATAGAATTTTTTTAAAGTTTAGCCCGAGCAAAATTGTATTGTATAAGTTTTATAGCGTACGTAGATTTAAATCAAATTTGAATGAAATAGTTCATTTCTTTTTATTCTAAACACGGCAGATGACGTCATTAGTTATTGTATAAACATTAGTGACGTCACTGTTTTATGCATTCTTTTTCACAATTATAAACGCTTTTCCTGTTGCATAAAAAAACTGTTTCTCTACATTCGAATACGCCTTTATTTTTTATTTTTCTTCTTTACATAAAATTGTGGTTATACATTTAAAACATCTAACATATTATTTTCAACAAAAGTCCGTATAAAGGTATCCATATATCGCTGCCGATTCTGACGTGATATCTGGCGAAAATATTTTGCGGACAGACAGAGAGAGAGAGAGAGAGAGAGAGAGAGAGAGAGAGAGAGAGAGAGAGAGAGAGAGAGAGAGAGAGAGAAGTGCGCACATGGGGAATTATATATTAGGATAAAGTAACTTACTGTCCCAGCCAGGCCCTGCACTGGCCTTTGTGAAAACGTATCTGCAAAAGGATCGTGATTTGTGTGCCTATTACGCAGCAAATACCAAGCGCTGCCCGTAATTTGGATTAATGTTAAACTACAATCACGAACAGAAATAGGAGCAGAAATGCAAACGTAAGCGTAAAACCTAAACAGAAATACAATCAAAATCAGTCATAATTACAAACACACATTTGATTTTTTTTCTATGTAACTTTAAATTTAGTTTATCATCTACATACAAATAAAAGGAAGTAATTTGCATAACTTTTCAGGTAAAATTGTAACATATGTGAAAGATAATACATTTAGTTTGATTTTGTTCTTCGCACTTGAGGTAAAAAGTTTATTTGCAAAAGAAAAAAAATATTTTGGAAATAATAATTATAAATGTCAAGTTTTCTAGGCAAAGATTCTTGACAATGTCATCTTGAGTTGGCCTGTGGTGGAGGTTGCATGTTGTACCGACTCATAATATGTGACTCACTGACTTGTAAGATGCAGAATAAAATTGTATAATATCTTATCACCCAAAAGTCTAGATTTCGAATTCCGGGCTGGGATCCATGGTACGTCTCCAGGTCACCTAGCTCAGGTGGGTACCTGACTCACGTTAAAGAAAGTAAAGGCAGCTGGGTGTAGTTCTCACCTTCATATGCTGGATTTAAAAATTCTGTAACAGGAGAACTCTACTTCATCTTTCTCATAGACCGCCAGGTTTTAAAGATCAATCCGCCCTCCCTCTACCCCACCCCTCTCCCAGAAAAAAATTCATAAAAGCTTACCTTTCAAAATAGGTTTACTATATTTAAAAAAAAATACACTAAATGCGGCACTCTAGGTCTACTCAGGGGCGTAGCGGGGGGGGGGGGGGGGGCGGGGGGGTCCCCGCACCGGGTGACACCATTTAGGGGGGTGACACCAAGGCATAAAATAGCAAAATATAGAGAAAAACTTGAGGGGCGGGTGCAAATCGAAAGTTTGAGGGGGGGGGGGGTGCAAATCGAAAACTTGAGGGGGGGGTGCTAATCGAAAGTTTGAGGGGGTGGGGTGCAAATCGAAAACTTAAAAGTTTGTCCCCGGGAAGGGTCGCTCGCAACGCCTCTGGGGGGTGACACCATTAAGTGCCGCACCGGGTGAAACCCGACCTCGCTACGCCACTGGGTCTACTAGCCTATAATTATAATCTAGACTTAATGCCACATTGTAGATTTACTACATGTTAAAGTAATGTTCGTGATTTAATTATTTTTTTGGGATTATCTTCGATTATTTTATCAGCTAATGTCACTAATTTTCTATGCCACAAAGTCAACAACGTGATTGTCGTATTATCGGTGATACATTGATTTTCTTCTTTTTGCCAAAGATTCGCACACGAAACACACAGATCGTCATAAAAAGTAGTCGTAAAAAAATGGCAACAGAAAAAATAGTGAATAAAGTGGAGTTAGCTTCGACAGTGACTTTACTCGTTTCCCAAACAAACCTCAAGAAATCGATTCTAACCTAACATCGAAATCCAATCTATGTCAACTGGTTCGCCAAAACAGTATCGATATTTGTAATATCAGGTTTCCATGCTTGATTGATTGTACACACACCCCTTAGGCCGTGACTAGAGATGTGAATTAACATTCACCCAGCAACCTCAGGCCTTACCATCAGGTGAACGGTCTGCCCAGTTTTAAAAAGGTACAAAGAACAAACAAATAATCCTAACTTATCTAGAACAATCTTAAAAAGCAAGTTAAGGGCTTACAGTGTGCTACAAAAGCAAAGTCACTGTAATAGGCTAAGTGTTAAGTAAAAAATATATTTTCCGAAACTTTTAAAGTAACTAAAAATGAATTATCTCGAGCTGAAAAAAAACCATTTGAAAATCAATTACAATCTATGGGGCTATTTGTACTTCGTGATAAAAGTACACTTTTGGACCCGCATATCGCTTTTTAGCTTCTATAGTAATCTATAGCTTGGGCGTATAATGAGAAAGTGTGTATTGGACCCACATATCACTTTTTTAGCTTCTATATTCTAATCTATAGCTTGGGCATATAAAGAGATAGTGTGGCCAGAATAATATTCAGTTTTTTCAGACAAATAAAATGACACTAAGATTTGTTCTAAAAACTCCACATATTCGAAAAAAATGTAACAGATCGTTTTATGCTGTAATTACAAATTTGATACCTATAGCATTAAAAAATAAATCGGATATTTTATTTTTTTCCAACGACACGTAATCTTTAAAATTCATTCTTTATAAGTTTGCCTTATATAGCTTTCTTTTTAATATGAATACCCTAGTGCTAAAAGTACTGAGGTCACACTTTTGTGAAAATCAAAGCAACGCTCGTACTCTTTTAGTATAATCGAGCCAAAGGGAATGACCGAGTTGACGAGAGTTCTTCCGTTATTTTGTTGACATAGATAAAAATCACGTGTTTTTTTTAACGTTTTGCATCAACAGCAGGAAAAAAAAATCAGGCCTGAAAAGAATTATTGAAATTTGATATTTTAAAATCAATGTTACGAAAGTTGCAAATCCAGAGAACGTGAACATATTTTTATTTTGAAGGCTACATTTCAATTTATTTTCATCAAACCTAAATTATAAAGTTAAGTTTTACTTTCGCAAGACAAATATTGATTGGCTGTACAGGAACTCCGTGATTGATATTCTGTAAAGTAATTTGTTGCCAAAACTTTGCCGATAAAGTTTTTTTTTTTAAAAATGATTGTTTTTTCTAACCACATAACAAAGTTCTGCCATTTTTGTTTACATTTTTGTGTGTGGCTTTTTTAGACAAAAAATTGTTTAATTACCAAAAATACTAAAAAAACATTAAATTATACATCCAATCATTATACTGAAGTCCAACAAAAATCAAACAGTCAGATTTTTATAGCCTTATTTATTTTAACAACATGGTCTGATTAAAAAAAAAAATTAAGGGGCTTTTCAAATAATGTCGCGACTGTTCTAGGCCATGTCCATTTAATTAAATGCGTGAACTTTTGTTTTCTCAAAATATTTATTTTTCGACTAAAGTAATTTAAGCACTTAGATCTCGAAATTAGTCATAATTAACGTAATCGCATAACTTATATGCTGTTATGTTAAAATAGATTATAATAACAACAAAAATGGTTGCATGTTGGCTTTCATCATGGTATTAATATATAAATAAAAATCGAAATATTAATAATACGTTGTATGTCAGCGAACCTAACCTATTGGACGAGGGGAGTAGGCCTACACAAATCAACCATTGAGCCAGCGCTCGATGGAGTCGCCCAAACATCGATTGAAACAATATTTGTTTCGGCTCGTGAAAGAAAAAACCTGGCACGCACTTGTACAAAAGTCTGGCACAACATTGCAAACTGCGCTAAGTGATAATGTGTGTTTCACTTTCATTGCCGGTAAATATATTAAGATCTAAAGAGGAATATACTTTTGGATATTGGTAGATTTATTAGTAAAAGAAGAAATAGATATATGTATTAAGAATTTTGAGGTGTTTTTGGCATTTGAATTACTGGGCTTAGCTGAAACGGTTGCTGGTGTGAATAAAAATGTATTCGTCATGTGAGAGTGCTGTGTTGTTGTTACTGGGGACATTGGCCGTATTTCTGGTGTCCAGAAGTGGTGGTCAGTTGTACGTGCTAGATGATCAGCTCAGGAATAATTCCCAGGCGTTGGAGAAATGCGTGCAGTTGGGGTTTGATGGTCTGGCGATTGTGGACTCGAACCAGACCACAACAACAGCCCTGAAGCTGATTAAGACACCCGGGCAAGTATTTACAGGCTATACAATCTTCTTTGTCGCTTATTGATGTTGAAATAAGATTGAAGTTTATAATTTAGAATGTTTTCTTAATTTATTATAAATCTGTTTTCTGAATTGATTTCAATTTAGAGGCAAGTTTTGCAAGTTTTAAAATTTGGTTTCCGTTAGAAATCCGTTTTTTTATTTTATTAGAAATCGTTTTTTTGAATAGTAGATACTTTCACCTTTAACGTCATATTTTTTTCCCATTTAATTTAAAGTCAGTTACTTTTTTTCTCATTTCTAGTTCGGGTTTTTAGATTAGCAGATAGATCTATATTTCAAAATTATTATTTTTCAAAATAAAAATTGTTTTCATCTTTTAGTTTTCCCAGGTTTAATTTAAAACTTTATCCCAATCGTGACATGTTTTTTTTAAGGTCGTAGTACAAACATTTTAAAAACAAACATAAAACTCGTATCCTGGATGTAAAAAGTGAAATTAAGACGACATTGCTCGTGTTAAATAAAGACATCTCTAGATTCTACTTCTAATGTCTAATAATAAAAATTATCAAAATACTAAAGGCATATATCAGTTATTAGGTACACAATACATGTTATTGAAAAAGTAAATTGGTAGTAAGTTTTGCGAAATTTTTGTGGACGTCCACATATGGGGGATGGGGGGTGGGGGTGGAGTTCGTCGAACAATAATTTAGTTGATTTTTACTTTATATGAAAAAAAAAATAGTTTTTAATTTAAACGTAAATAGCTTTTCTAGTCTCCAAGTAACATTGTTTTCCATTTAAAAGAAAAATAATTTTGGGACTGTTCTCTTATTTCTTCAACTTAAACGTGTTTTTCTTTTTTTTTTGTTTCCATTGCATTATGCTTTTAAAAATAATTTAAAATTTTTAAAAACTATGTTGTTTCCTTCTTATTTCTTACATTTGTATTTATTTTAATCGTTTTAAATGTAATTTTAGCTTTAACTTTTTATAACTTAAAACAAATTTGAGTTGAGCCAGCTCTATGGTTCCATGATTAAAGGTTCGAATCCCTTTGTTTTCAGTGCCCAGCAGTACTGGGTTGGTATGCACTACTCGGAGAGCCAAAGCATGCACATGTGGGACACAGGTACAACTGTTCGAGTTTTTTTCCCCACCAGTTTTATTACGGCAAATTTTTAAAGTATGAAATGTACACATAGAATTCGTCCATATTTCAAATACTTTACGCCCAAATTTTAATTTTCTTTTAAAAACTATCAACAATAACAAAAATAAAAAAAAAAGGAAAAAAAAAGAAAAAAAAACAGCACAAAAAAAAACAACAAACACAAACAAACAAAACAAGACGATAACAAAACAAAACAAAAAACAAACAAACAAAACCAGACAATAACAAAACAAAACAACAGCAGCAGCAAAAAAGAATAACCATTTATGGTTTTAATTGTTTCTAACAAAGATGTAACAAACGATTTCCTCACTTAAACGATGTAATAACAGTCCTTCATTCTAAAAATACGTTTTTTTTTAGTGACAAAGTATTTCGTCGCCTTTGTGTGTGTGTGTGTGTGGGGGGGGGGGGTGGGGGTGGGGGTGGGGGGGGGGAAGGTGGAGGTGACTATTAGAAATAGAAATTTCCTTTGTTACTTGTTCTACCTAAACGTTAAGTAATTTACGTTAGGTGTGTGAGCGTGTGTGTGTGTGGGGGGGGGGGGGGGATAATTTACATAAAAGTGTGTGATGTAATATTAGCATTAATCTGAAGTTTTTTCTTATATTTTTGGTAGAAATAGCAGGTTTTAGCAAACATCACTTTTTCAACTTGACTTTTTGCTTTCGCCTCCCATCGATTAGTTGCACTGTAGAATATTAGCCACAAAATAAGATCCCTTACAGTTTATCTCTAGTTAAACATAGTCTTAGCCTAAGCGTTAAACTATTTTCTATCTTCACTGTGCGCATATTTTATGCTGGTCTGGGTGCTCTCTTCCAGGTATACCTGTCTCCTGGGCTCTATGGGCCAGCGATGAGCCGGACAATTTGCCAACGGACAAGTGTGTCCGTTTTCGGACAACGCAGTTGTTGGGGACTTTCAGTTGTTCCTCACAGTTCATGGCCATGTGCGGGATGTGTGAGTGGCCCATTTTTCCCCCTCAATTTGTGTGTGTCACGTTTTTACTTTCTTGTAGACATGATATAGATAGAGTATTGTAATCTTGCACACAAATTAAATGAAGTTATGACAGTTTTCGCCTGTTTAACATCCCCATTTCATCGTATACCGAATATAAAGGATGCAATGTAATCATGGAGAAATCTAAATTGAGCAAATTTTTACTTTTACAACCTTCCAGAGCTGAAAAACCATGTTTTGCCATCCTGTCCGTTTGTGTTCATAAGCTAAACACGAGAACACAAGTACCGTTTCCATAAGGTTGACAAGATTCAATATATAAAACTATATCGAATTTTAGTTTTCCATCAACTTTTGAGCGATTTCCGATAATCGGAAGTGGTACTTACTCTACTTTATTTTTTACCAAAGCCTGTAACTATCTTTAACTTTAAGTTTGAATAACTTTATTTAGACCCTTAAAAATTAATAAAGAAAATTTAAACATCCATTTTCCGATTTTTGCCTTAAACTTTCTGTCTAAAACTATAACGTCAGTAAAATATGTGGCTTTTTATGACAACCTCTTTGCCGTGCTGTCGATAAATTGCGGGAGTCGTTTTTCATTTTTCTTTATTTTCCTTTCTGACCTGTGGTATTGCCTTTTCGGGTCAAAGAAATTTATGCATGGTATTATAATCTTTTTTTTTTTGTTTTCCTAATAATTTTACTTTACATTGATTTCCTATTTACTAAAGTAATTAAGATTAAATTTTATTATCAAGTAGCTTTCGATTTTGTATTCTACTTCAATTACTTAAGTAACCAGGTGAAATAATATTTAGGTTTTAAATGAAGAATGTGTTACTTTTAATTTAAAAAAAAATGTTTAGAAAAATCTGTTTTTGTGTTCTTGTATGAATAGACACGTGGTTACATTAAAAAAAAATGTTTAGAAAAATCTGTTTTTGTGTTCTTGTATGAATAGACACGTGGTTACAGTTCCAAGTCCGCTTCACCCACGGCAAGGCCCCCACCCCCGGGGCTCCCTCTCTCTGGTCCGGCACCGCCAGGTCCCTGGTGGAGTGCGTGACCAGGTGTACGAAGGACATCCGGTGCCAGCACTGCGCGTACGACAACCGGACTCTCCGGTGCCTCACCCTGCCCGGCAGTTTTGACGTGGTCACTGGCACTGTGACGTCAGAGACTGGACTCATTGGCACAAAGAACACCGTCTGAAGTGAGCTGGAGCTAAACAATCCATTTCACCTGGAATAACATTGCTAGAAACTAACTCAAATATTGAGAGCAAACACGTTTTGTACTGGATACATTCTTAACTAATTAATTTAACATTCATTAATTAATTTTAAAAAATAATGAAATGTATAATTTGAAGCCATTTATTTGCATTTGTTTTATATAATTGTAATGGCTTTAATAAATACAGTTTTGTAACTTGTAGTTCTTTAACATTTACTTGCATGAAAGTTCATCACGAAGTTGTGTGCTAGGGAGTACAGAACAGTGCGTTGTGACAGATTGGGGGGACGAGGACGGGACAGAACAGGGCATATTGACAGATGGTGAGTACAGAACAGGGCATAGTGACAGATGGTGAGGACATAACAGGGCATAGTGACAGATGGTGAGGACAGAACAGGGCATAATGACAGATGGTGAGGACAGAACAGGGCATAGTGACAGATGGTGAGTACAGAACAGGGCATAGTGACAGATGGTGAGTACAGAACAGGGCATAGTGACAGATGGTGAGTACAGAACAGGGCATAGTGACAGATGGTGAGTACAGAACAGGGCATAGTGACAGATGGTGAGTACAGAACAGGGCATAGTGACAGATGGTGAGTACAGAACAGGGCATAGTGACAGATGGTGAGTACAGAACAGGGCATAGTGACATATGGGGAGTACAGAACAGGGCATAGTGACATATGGGGAGGACAGAACAGGGCATAGTGACATATGAGGAGGACAGAACAGGGCATAGTGACATATGAGGAGGACAGAACAGGGCAGAGTGACATATGAGGAGGACATAACAGGGCATAGTGACAGATGGGTAAAACAGAACAGGGCATAGTGACAGATGGGTAAAACAGAACAGGGCATAGTGACAGATGGGTAAAACAGAACAGGGCATAGTGACATATGGGGGAAAAGAACTCAGCATGGGGAAAAATTTTAATGGCGTCAGCTTCCGGGGTTCTGATTAAAACATCGTATAGGATTTGGTCTCCGTCAATAAATAATACAAGTTTAATGGCCATGGATTATCTCCTTTATTGGGTCGTGCCATTTTGTTCAATGCGTTGACGAGGATACAATATTGTGTATATTAGATCAATATGTTGGCTAAAACAATGTTAGAGACACCTTGTTAGAGGGATGTATTGGGTCTGTTGTTGTAGTGATGTAATGGGTCTGTTGTTGTAGGGATGTATTGGGCCTGTTGTTGTAGTGATGTAATGGGCCTGTTGTTGTAGTGATATATTGGGTCTGTTGTTGTAGTGATATATTGGGCCTGTTGTTGTAGTGATGTAATGGGTCTGTTGTTGTAGGGATGTATTGGGTCTGTTGTTGTAGTGATGTAATGGGTCTGTTGTTGTAGGAATGTATTGGGTCTGTTGTTGTAGTGATGTATTGGGTCTGTTGTTGTAGTGATGTATTGGGGCTCTTATTGTAGGAATGTAATGGGCCATTGATGTAGTGATGTAATGGGGCTGCTAGCCTGAAGGTATTGAGTTCGGATCTAGACGTCCCTGAGCCGACCCAGCTCTCATGGGTACCTGACTCACATTGCGGAGAGTAAAAGCGGCTGGGCACAGTGCAGACCACCTATTCTTATGGCGAGGTCAAGACACGTATGAAATTTATTACATCTGCACTATAGATCGATAAGTATGAATGGGGAGTCGTGAAAAAATATTTAAGTTTAAGAAAATATTTTCAAGTTTTTAAAACATTGAGTTTTACACCTATTATACTTAATCTACTCGAAACCCACACACCAAATCGACAGACTGATCGTCATTAATTAGTTGTCTTTCATTTGTTATTGAGGTATGTTTTAAATAACTAATTTACTATCTAATTAAATAGAACAAAAACGAGATATTCTTGTATTGTCATCGAAGATTCACCACTGCTCAGCGAGTAGTAGGTAAAAAGTATGTGACACGATTATATTTTTACCACAAAACAAGAGACAGCCAAACGTACATTGCGACTGGAGAACAACTTGCAGTATCAAACACCATTTGTGCCACAGTGAAGACGCCAATAGAAAATATAAGTGACATGGCTCTACACTTCAGTTGATTGTCACGCTTGATTGGCGCTTGAGTCAGTATCGATTCAACGGACGGGAAATTGAGATCTGTGGTGTGGCGATAACCATCTCATGCATGGGTGCAACATTGGCGATTACCATACCAACTCATTAATGCAGAGGCGTAGCGACGATTCCCGGCGCCCAGGGACAAATTTTCAATTTGCACCCCACCCCCTCAAACTTTTGATTTGCAAACCGCCCCTCAAACTTTTGATTTGCACCCCCCCAACTGTTTATAAGGCAAAAATGCAGCTAAAATGACATTTTAATTTATTTTCCAACCCATTTCTAAGGTCGGCGCCCGAGGACATATGTACCTCCCTGCCCCCCCCCCCCCCCCCCCCCCCATCGCTAACTGCTTGCCACATTGGCGATAAACATCTCATTAATGGTTGCCATATTGATAATTTAATATGCTAAGTACAGGAGGAAGGGTTCATCATGGTTTATATAGTTACACTTTTGCATACAAAAAAAGTAATATGACAAACTAAATTTTAACCTTCATTTCCCGTTTTTTTGAAAACTTTTTTTGTAAATTGTGATAGAAATTAATTAAAATACTCGACCCTGACCGTAAAGTAAAAAAAAAAAAGTTTCCCTTTCAAACCTGACGGTCTATGGGGTAAGTGAAGTAGAGTTCACTTGTTTCTGTGTCCTCGGCATATGAAGAGATAGTGTGGTCAGCACTATGCCCAGCCGCATTTACTCTCCCTAACGTGAGTTAGGTACCCATCAGAGTTGGGTGGACTCAGGGACGGTCTACTGACTTGAACCCGGATTCGCTCTCTACAGCTAGACCACTCCGTCCCATGTCCCTGACCGTGACCAGACAATATTTCAGAAAGATATCGATGTTCAAGAAAATTGGGGATGGGGAGAGGGGGGGGGTTGTAGACTGAGGTGTGACGTCATTTGAAGGGGGGGGGGGATCAGGATTTTTGTGACGTTGTGTGCAAGGTATCTAAAGAGTCTGAGTTTTGAAAGTAACGGCTGCACCTCATCTCCAGCCTTTAGGGTGCACATGACCTACAGGCCCTAGGTGCACCTGAACTCCACCCTCTAGGCGCACCAGACCTCCACCCTCTAGGTGCACCAGACCTCCACACTCTAAGTGCACCAGACCTCCACCCTCTAGGTGCACCAGACCTCCACCCTCTATGTGCACCAAACCTCCGCCCTCTAGGTGCACCATACTTCCTACTATTTGGTGCACCAGACTTCAACCATCTAGATGCACCAGACCTCCACCCTCAAGGTGCACCAGACCTCCACCCTCTAGGTGCACCAGACCTCCACCCTCAAGGTGCACCAGACCTCCACCCTATAGGTGCACCAGACCTCCACCCTGTAGGTGCACCAGACCTCCACCCTCTAGGTGCACCAGACCTCCACCCTCAAGGTGCACCAGACCTCCACCCTATAGGTGCACCAGACCTCCACCCTCTAGGTGCACCAGACCTCCACCCTCAAGGTGCACCAGACCTCCACCCTATAGGTGCACCAGACCTCCACACTCTAAGTGCACCAGACCTCCACCCTCTAGGTGCACCAGACCTCCACCCTCTATGTGCACCAAACCTCCGCCCTCTAGGTGCACCATACTTCCTACTATTTGGTGCACCAGACTTCAACCATCTAGATGCACCAGACCTCCACCCTCTAGGTGCACCAGACCTCCACCCTCAAGGTGCACCAGAACTCCACCCTATAGGTGCACCAGACCTCCACCCTCAAGGTGCACCAGAACTCCACCCTATAGGTGCACCAGACCTCCACCCTCTAGGTGCACCAGACCTCCACCCTCAAGGTGCACCAGACCTATACCCTCTAGGTGCACCAGACCTCCATCCTCTAGGTGCACCAGACCTATACCCTCTAGGTGCACCAGACCTATACCCTCTAGGTGCACCAGACCTCCATCCTCTAGGTGCACCAGACCTCCACCCTGTAGGTGCACCAGACCTCCACCCTCTAGGTGCACCAGACCTCCATCCTCTAGGTGCACCAGACCTATACCCTCTAGGTGCACCAGACCTCCACCCTATAGGTGCACCAGACCTCCACCCTCTAGGTGCACCAGACCTCCACCCTCTAGGTGCACCAGACCTCAACCCTCAAGATGCACCAGACCTCCACCCTGTAAGTGCACCAGACTTTCTACCAATAGGTGCACCAGACCCCCACCCTTTAGGTGCACTAGACCTACACACTCTAGGTGCACCAGATCTCCACCCGCAAGGTGCACCTGACCACAATTTTCTAAGTACATTTTAACTCCCCATCAAGATTAACATAACCCCATCCACAATTATAACGCTGACCTCATTGAAAATGTAACGCGTCGTGCAATTTAATCCTGTCCTTTATTAGTCTTTCATTTTTAAACACAGAATTCAACATTGTTACACCCAATCTATCACCGATAGATCTATCTGATACGAAAAAAATCAATATTGGTTTAACGTCACTAATACCTCAGTCCTAGCGTCCAATATTTCCAACACAATTAGCAAGGTCATAGTTAGATATTAATGAAACTAAACTGTTAACTTTTGTATGATAGTATTTTAGTAACGCGAAGAAAACAGCTTCGGTGGTTCAAGAAATTAAATTTATTCTATTGACTTGACATTGTCCTAGTATTCTTCCAGCCAAGTTTGTGTGTGTTCAGCGTTCACGGTTGTGTAAATATGGTTTGTTTACAAAAAGAAACGACTGAAAATACAATGTAATGTATTGGGGAAATTGATGTGGGTCTTGATCGTTGAAACACAATGAGATGTTTGTGTGTGTTTGAGTTAGTGCGTGTGTGTATGTGTGTATGTGTGCGTATGTTAGAGACGATTTAATTTTTTCTCTTCATTTTTATTTTTGCCCTTTGCATTATATCTTAGGTTTGGGCGTATTGTTTGGGTTATTTATCTGGTCAGATGTTTTATAAGTAGAATGTTTATAAAGAAGTCAACTTATAGGGAAAGAAACAATTTCGTATATAACATAAGGCCTTGTTTGGAGGTTCATGTTTTAGAATTCTGTTTACATTTTGTAAACACGTTAAAACCTGACCAATGGCGTACGCAGTAGGGGAGAAGCGGTAGGCCACACCTCCCTCAGTAGCAATTTTCTGCAAAGTGGCGTCTGTTTGGAAACTTATTTAACTAAAAGTTTTGAACAACGTTATTTGTCAGGATTTATTTTTCGGTTGGCACATGTACGCAAATCACTTCCTTACATGATTCTTTTCATGCAGCAATTAAGCGTGTAATACTAGATTAGTGTTAAATCGTGACACCTTGTAGTGTTGAAACAACTTCCACATATTTTTTTCGGTGACAGTAAAGCAAAATCTGGCCAAATTAAAAAAAAATATAGTAGCTGAAACTAAAATAGCAAGGTATTTCTCTGTGTAGATTCAACTATCGAGATTAGCTGAATTGATCAATTTTCTTTGTTAGTCCGATATGTTATAGAACATGCAGACACCATCGAAAGATTTATTCTATTTTGCAAACTTCTACAACATACACACAAACATATATATTAAGAGACGTTTCCAGGTTTTCGATGTAGGGGAGCGAAAAGAGTATATATATATATATATATATATATATATATATATATATATATATATATATATATATATATATATATATATATATATATATATATATATATATATATATATATATATATATATATATATTTATATATATATATACACATATACCATGAGTTACATTTTTAAAAACTCTTTTTGTTCCCCTTACACCGAAAACCTTCAAACGCCTCTGAACCTACCATTTATTGTGAACTGGCACACCAACCTACCACTTGAAACTTCAATTTAGCATTGACCGCCCCAGCAGATCTAATCATACATTATAATGTGAACACAATGTACTCAGACCCACTACAAGAAGCAAAATATTGGTATTTGAAGTACTAGCAAAGTGCATATGGCGGTATCGATGTCTACTAAATCGTGTCAGGGATTCGAATCAATCGCGATATGTGTCGTAACGATCAGCACTTATTTGGTTTTAGCTGGTCCAATATTTGCTCTTTTTTCTACTGCCATCCTTTATGTAAATGGCCAAATAGACGTAAAACAGTTAAGGGAAAATGTGACACACAAGCCTCAGCTTTAGGAGGAAGCTGGTAGCCATGTATATATATATATATATATATATATATATATATATATATATATATATATATATATATATATATATATATATATATATATATATATATATATATATATATATATATATCGAAGTGGACGTGTTCTGCAGAATTTTAAAAATTCTGCAGATTTTGAAGCCCTCCACAATTATGGACGTGGCAAACATACATGGACATCTTACAAATAGATGACCGTTCTACAAATACATGGACGTCTTACATTGAGTTGTGTAACTACCAAAGCCACTCGGTCGTAGTGTTTACACTCCCGATATAATATATGAAATGAGATGCGAATAGGTTTTATGTAGATTATGTGTGACCAATCCTTACTCTGTCTCTAAAAGGACTATATTCTGTACCTGTGGCTAGCTTTGGCGTTAAAATAAAACATAATGTCTGATGGTGCATACACATTAATGAACGAGATGAATTTTAAAATAGAGCAGTCAAATTAGTTGTCATTTTTTTGGAGGAAATTATATAAACCCGTCCAATTTGTTGCAACAAAATCAATAAAGGCATACATCTAACTTTTTCTTTACCACACATGTTCTAGTCACGTACTTGCGATGGGAAACCAACATTTTTTAAAACAAGGGAAGCAACACGGTGTTTTAACCTCATTTGGAAATACGAAATTGTTTCCCTTATTCCGTATTTTGCTGCTGAGGATTTAACCACTGGTCAAATTTTACAATTTAAAATCGTTGTTTGTTGACAAAAGTTTGTATGAGCGAACACACAATTTAACAAACCTCTGTCCTCCCACCTCTGCCCCCCCCTCCCTGATTGATTGCAACTAACGTTTCAAGCGTTGTAAACCTTCAGTTTCCGTCCGAGAACTCGTGATGAGGTTTCCTGTTGCCAAGCAGATGAAGTAGAGCAGGTATATTGGGCTAATTTATAAAAAAAAAACTTTACTTTTCTAATTGCTCTACAGAAAAGTATCTCGTAATTTTATTAAGCCTTAATAAAATATTTAAGTGAGTGCTTAAAAACGTTCTCAGACGATGTATTCGTCGGGAAAGATCTGCAACAAGCTCTAAAAATCCGGTACACTACAAATCCTTGTACAAATTGATGTACACATTGTTGTACAAATCGTTCTACTAATTGTTATACAAATTGTTGTACAATTGTTGCACCTGCTGAGGGTTGAGTGTGTGAATCGTGTAGAGGTGATTAGCCAGATCTGCAAATGGGTTAATCTATGGGTTTAATTAGTGTGGATGGATGGTTATGAGTTTTGGGTTAATGACGGTTTGGTCACCATTTCTCTGGAGAAATAGCCACAGAATCATTCTATTGTTTGGGACCTATTGTCAGTGGCTCAGTGGCACAATACATCTCAACTACTTAAACAACACTAGTTCGGAAACTTGGAACATCTACTCATACAAGAGAAACTTGGAACATCTACTTCACATCATGCAAGAGAAACTTGGAACATCTACTTCACATCATACAAGAGAAACTTGAAACATCTACTTCACATCATACAAGAGAAACTTGGACCTAAATGCTAAAAATTGAATTTAAAAAGCGGGAGTGATTTCCCCTAAACTTTCTTGTATATTCTAAAATAACAGTGGTGGGTGGCACTTCCAGTGTTTTAGAAATGTTTATTTTTAAAAATTATATTTAATATTTAATTTAAAAAAAAAGAAATTTCGCCGAAAAAGAAATTGCGTACGTAATGATCACAATTGAGTATAATAGAGAGGGATAGTGGGACTTTCTAAAGAAACATTAAAAGTTGACAATGCTGAAAACGGCGAAAACTTGTAAAATTTAATTTTACATTTCTGCACGATTACAATAAATTCTCTATACTCTGTATCCATACAAAAAGTAAAAATACAAAACAAAACTACCGAGTTTATGATTTCAATCAATGGAAAAAAAATAGATCAAAATAAATCTGTATATTTTACAATATTCCTACTTGACATAAAATCTAATGACATAAATATCCTGTTACAAATTTCAACATTCCTATTTTTAGATTACACTCGATGACCCCAGTTAATTAACCTCCATCGTTTCCTCCGCTTTCAACAAAAACCTCCAGAAATTGATGTGGCAAACGAGGCAACAAAATACCCAGACAGTGGGAAATAGAACTCAGTCTGCTATGTATGTATAAATGATTTCTGTTTAGAACTTAAGAAATGAAATTTTCCTTCACGCAGGAACCCCCGCTGGAGATAAATGATATATTTTCTAAGAGCCTTACACGAGAATTTTTCTGTCCATTGATAGGGACCCTATCCAAACTTGCTCAGGAGATTCTCCGCCCCCACCCCCTCCCGAGCTCACAAAGACGCATAGAAAATCTGCTAGAGGGGAAAAGTCTAATTACAAATCGTACAAACGTCTGTATGATACAACGTGTCCTAGCTGGAAGTGAGGGTTCCTAAATAATAATCCGGCGTCCTTGTTAGAAACACGGTCTAGATTAATAGGTAAAACCTGAAGGCAAGGTTAGATCAATCAATGACGTCAGCAATTAATGACGTCAGAACTCTTTACAAACGTTTCCGGTTGAAACAGAAAGCCGCCATTTTGTTTTGGACAGGCCTGCATGGCTAGAGAAGACGACTGCGTGGAGGACATTGATTGGGCAACGATTTCCAGTAAGTTCCAAATGAAAGGCGAGGTGGGTACGCCAAAGCGGAAAATAACAAGTTTCTTTCTGCCGAGACTTGGGTTGCTAATGGCAAAACTCCCCCCCCCCCCTTTATTTAATTGCACAGTGGCAAATCTTTCTATAATATATTTGGGATGGAAATCTTTCCCTTATAAACTTGTCTTAGGCAAAACTTTCCCCTTTATATAATTGCTACTAGCGAAACTTTATATAATGTATTTGCAATCGAAAATATTTCCCTTATATACTTGCCTTTGGCAAAACTTCCCGATTATGTAACTGCAAGAAGGCAAATTTTTCTCTCATGTAATCGTAATTGGCAAAACTTTCAATTAAGTAATTGTATGTGACGAAAATTACCCTTATGAAATATCGCATACACAACTAGGTTTTTATAAAATGAAAATAGTGCTATCCGTCTTTAGGGCCTTCAAAA